AAAACTGGTGTTGCCTTTTTGGTTAAGGACATCCTTAATACTGAGAAATATAACTAATTTGAAGTCATTTTCCTGTGATAGTCAAACCAAGCAGTTTGTGATTTAAAAAAAAAAAAAAGAAAAGAAAATGTAGTTTTGGTTTGACGGCATTAGTGGCCTTATCCCAACCATTCCTGAACAGTAACCAATTTTTAGTATTCAGTAGTCTTTTCTTTTTGCTTCCACTTCCTAGTGGACATTGTAAATGATGAATTGCTTAAAAGGCAAATGGAAGAATAAAAAAGGGCTGGCAAGGTGGCTTAAGTGGTAGAGTGCAAGCCTTGAGCAAAAGAAGCTCAGGCCTTGGGGCTGGGAAGGTGGCTTAGTGGTAGAGCACTTGCCTTGCATGCTTGAGGCCCTGAGTTCAATTCCTCAGCACCACATAAGAATAAGGCGGGAAGTGGCGCTGTGGCTCAAGTGGTAGAGCGCTAGCCTTGAGCTGAAGAGCTGAGGGACAGCGCCCAGGCCCAGAGTTCAGACCCCACGACTGGCCCCCCCCCCTACAAAAAAAAGAAGCTCAGGCCCCAGGGCTGGTGGCTCACACCTGTATTCCTAGCTACTAAGGAGTCTGAGATCAAAGCCAGCCCAGGCAGGAAAGTCTGTGAGACTCTTTTGTTGTTGTTGTTGGTCTTGGGGCCTGAACTCTGGGCCTGGGTGCTGTCTCTCAGCTCTTCAGCTCAAGACTAGTGCTCTATCACTTGAGCCACAGCACCTCTTCTGGCCTTTTCTGTTTATGTGGTGTTAAGGATTCAAACCCAGGACCTCATGCATGCAAGGCAAGCGCTCTACCACTGAGCCACCTTCCCAGCCCTGTATTCCAAATTCTTACTTCCTTTCTCTCTCTTTTTTTTTTTTTGTGCCAGTCCTGGGATTTGAACTCAGGGCTTGGACACTGTCCCTGAGCTTTTGGGCTCAAGGCTAGTGTTCTACCACTTTGAGCCACAGCACTATTTCCAACTTTTTGCTAGATAATTGGAGATTAGAGTCTTACAGACTTGGGGCTGGGAAGGTGGCTCAGTAGTAGAGTGCTTATCTTGCATGCATGAGGCCCTGGGTTCGATTCCTCAGCACCACATAAGCAAAAAGAAAAAAGCCAGAAGTGGTGCTGTGGCTCAAGTGGTAAAGTGCTAGCCTTGAGCTGAAGAGCTGAGGGACAGCGCCCAGCCCAGGGTTCAGGCCCCATGACCGGGCCCCCCCCCCCAAAAAAAAAAAAAAAGTCTCACAGACTTTCCTGCTCAGGCTGGCTTTGAATTTTGATCCTCTAATCTCAGCCTCCTGAGTGGCTAGGATTGCAAGCTTTAAACTCTACTGGGCTTCTGAATTCTTATCTGTTAGGACAATTCCCAGCTGGTTCTACACAGGGAAGAAATGGCTTGTTGGATGACAGCTTGTACTTCCTGGTTTCTCCAGTCTTTCCATTTCACCTTACCCTCCATCTTACCCTGGCCCTCAGTAATAAGACCACAGAAAACTATGGCGCCATAGCCCAATCATTACAATATCTGAAGAATAAAGGTGTCTATTTCTTTGAATAAACCTATTCCCATAGTACTTTGAGCTGAGATGCTTAGTAAAACATACTGTTTATGGTGCTGAAAGTAGTTATAGCTTGACATTCTGTCCTAATCTATGGTTTTCTAAATAGTTGGCTGTCTGCCAGGGCCTACCAATCCCTCTCTGTACCACCCTGGTTGGTCTAAGACTTTTGATTCAGTGTTAGGAGGTGAGGGCCAGTTGTTTCACCTGCAATGGAGTTACAAGCAAGCTTTCTTGCTATTGTGCATTATTGCACAGAATAGGGACCAGTAGAAAAGAGAGAAGTCCACTAGATCCTTTCAGCCATATCCTCTGGACTTTTTTTTTTTTTTTTTTTTTTAATGTATCAGTTGTGGAGCTTGAATTCAGGGAATGGGTGCTGTACCTGAGCTTTCACTCAAAGTTAGCACTCTACCCACTTGGAGCCACAGTGCCACTTCTGTTTTTTTTGATGGAGCTAAGAGTCTCACTGACTTTCTTGCTTGGGCTTGCTTCAAATCACCATCCTCAGATCTCAGCCTCCTAAACCTGGCTTATTTGTTGAAATAGGGTTACCCTAACTTTTTCCCTAACCTAGCATCAAATCATGATCCTCTTGACCTTCCCCTTCTGACTTCTGAGTAGCTGGGATTCTAGGCATGAGTAGTGTTCCTAGACTTTATTTTGTTGTTGTTGTTACGTATTTCTGATTATAGAGAGACACAGAGCTTAGCATACTTGCTCAGATATTTTTGCTCATGGCTGGCACTTTGCCACTTGAACCACACCTCCAGTTCTGGCTTGTTACTGGTTAGTTAGAGACAAGAGTCTCTCAGATTTATCTGCTGGAGCTGACCTGATCCTCAGATCTCATCCTCTTGAGTAGCTATGATCCAAAGCTACCAGCACTCACTTCTCTTTTTTTATTTAACTCATTAATAATTAATTTTTGTGCCAGTCCTATAGCTTGAACTAAGGCTTTGCCCACTGTCCCTGAGCTTTTGTGCTCAAGGCTAGTGCTATACCAATTGAGTCACAGCTCTACTTTCAGCTTTTCAGTGGTTATTTGGAGCTAAGTGTCTTATGGATTTTCCTGTTTCGACTGACTTTGAACCTCAATCCTTAGGTCCCAGCCTCCTGAGTAGCTAGGATTACTGGTATGAGCCACCAGTGCATGGCTTCTTTTTTATTTATTTATTTTTTATTTTAATTTTTTTGTTGGTCCTGGGGCTTGAACTCTGAGCCTGGGCACTGTCCCTCAGCTCTTCAGCTCAAGGCTAGCACTTTGCCACTTAAGCCATAGTGCTACTTCTGGTTTTCTGGTGGTTTATTGGAGATAAGAGTCTCACCCACTTAGCTGCCCAGGCTGAGTTTGAACCATGATACTCAGGCCTCTCCTGTGTAGCTAGGATTACAGGCATGAGCCACCGGCCCCAGCCTCTTTTTTATTTTTGACAGGGCCTCACTATGTAGTCCAAGCTGGCCTCAAACTCTTGACCTTTCTGTCTCAGCCTCCTGAGTGCTGTTGTGTTGGGTTACAGGTTTAAACCATTGCATTCGCTACCCTCAGGACTTTTTTTTTGTAGTGTCAGGGTTTGGATGTATTAGGCAAGTGCTCTACCACTGAACTCTATTTCCAGCCAGGAATGCTTTTTTCTTTTCTTTTTTCTTTCTTTTTCTTTCTTTCTTTTTTTTTGCCAGCCCTGGGGCTTGAACTCTGGGCCTGGGCACTGTTCCTGAGCTTCTTTTGCTCAAGGCTAGCACTCTACCGTTGGAGCTACAACACCACTTCCAACTTTTTCTGAATATGTAGTACTGAGAAATTGAACCCAGGGCCTCATGCATGCTAGGCAAGCACTCTACCACTGAGCCACCTTCCCAGCCCCAGGAATGCCAGTTTTATATGCTAACAGGACACCTTCATCCCCAAGGCAGAAGAGACCTCCATGTTTCCCTTCACTTTCACTTTTCAGTAACCTGCCTTTCTGGAAGGTATTTGAGCCTCTTTCTCCTTTTCTGTTTTACAAAACTCTTATGTAAAAAAAACAACCAAAAAACCTGTTATGTAGGGGCTGGGAATGTGGCTTAGTGGAAGAGTGCTTGCCTTGCATGCATGAAGTCCTGGGTTTGGTTCCTCTGTACTACATAACACAGAACAAGCCAGAAGTGATGCTGTGGCTTAAGTGGTAGAGTGCTAGCCTTGAGCAAAAGAAGTTCATGGACAGTGCCTAGGCTCTGAGTTCAGGCCCCAGGACTGACAAAAAAGACAAAATAAAGCTCAGTGCCAGTGGCTCATGCCTATAATCCTAATGACCCAGGAGGCTGAGATCTGAGTATCATGGTTCAAAGCCAGCCTGGGCAGGAAAGTCCATGATACTCTTATCTCCATTTAACCACCAGAAAACCAGAAGTGGTGCTATGGGCTCAAGTGATAGAGTTGTAGTCTTGAGCCGAAGAGCTCAGGGACAGGGTCCAGGCCCAGAGTTCAAGCCCCAAGACCAACAACAACAACAAAAAAAAAGAAAAAAAAATCAACTCATGTATTCTCTCTTCAGGCCATTTTATTTTTCTCCATCTTGGCCATGGATTCAAAGTATGAGTTGAGTCTCAGAATTGATGTCCTACTTCTGAAGTCAGTTTCTGAAGTCAAGATCTCTTGCCTCAGTGGTCCACAGCACTCTGTTTTACTTTATCAAATAGAATATCCTCCTTGCTGGGAGTTCTCTCAGGCCAGGGCAGGGCCTTAATATGTGTGTGTGTGTGTGTGTGTGTGTGTGTGTTCAGGTACTTAGGGCCTTGGCACTGTCGCTTAGTTTTTTGCTTAAGGCTGGCACTCTACCACTTGAGCCACACCTCCACTTCCTACTTTTTGGAGGTTGATTGGAGATAAAAGTCTCACCAACTTTCCTGTCCAGGGCTGCTGTCTTCAAACTGCACAGCTGAGCTCAGCCTCCTCCGGTGTAGCTAGGATTATAGGAATGAGCTACCAACACCTGGCTTTAATTTGTTTTTGCATGCCCATGTCCTATAGAGGAAAAGCAAAAGAGACTCAGCCCTGCTCCCTTTTCTTGTGCCCACTTTCCTTTGGAGTTTCCAAACCCCCCACCCCTCTTGGGGTCATTATAGGATGACTGACAGGAGATTCTGGGGGTGACTCTCAGATGGGTTACGGGAAGCAGAAGGTGAAGGTCTGACTGAAGGATGGCATCGTCCCAGTGCTGGACACTCCATGGCCTGTCCTTTCCTCCCTCCACAGTACTCTGAGGAGGAGGGGCTGTCCCCATCAACACCAAAGCCTGTTTTGGAGTTGGGATAAATAGCTTGTATGCTTGCTTAAGGTTCTGGCTGCAGTCCAGCTTCTCTGTAGCGTCCCTCTTCCCCCACCTGTCTGACCCCAGCCTTCAAATCCTTGCCCTGCTTCTTCCAACCTTCACTCAGACTCAGAGATGGCTCTACAGGATGTGTGCAAATGGCAGGCCCCAGATACTAAGGAACTGTCCTTTCGTCTGCCCCCAGCTGGCAGCTGGGCTGTGCCCCTGGGCTGTGACCCTCAGACCTTCCTGCAGACCCAGGGCCCCAGCCTGGCCCACGGAACTACCACTCTGGCTTTCCGCTTCCGTCATGGTGTCATTGCTGCAGCTGACACGCGTTCCTCCTGTGGCAACTATGTGGCCTGTCCAGCCTCACTCAAGATCATCCCTGTGCACCGGCACCTCTTGGGGACCACTTCTGGCACCTCTGCTGATTGTGCTACCTGGTACCGGGTACTACAGCGGGAGCTGAGGCTTTGGGCACTGAGGGAAGGTCATCTGCCCAGTGTGGCCAGCGCAGCCAAGCTTTTGTCAGCCATGTTGTCCCGCTACCGTGGGCTAGATCTGTGTGTGACTACTGCCCTGTGTGGCTGGGACCGCTCTGGTCCTGCTCTTTTCTATGTATACAGCGATGGCACCTGCCTACAGGGGAACATCTTCTCTGTGGGCTCTGGGTCTCCCTATGCCTATGGTGTGCTGGACCGTAGCTACCACTATGATATGTCCATCCAGGAAGCCTATGCCCTGGCCTGCTGTGCTGTGGCCCGTGCCACCCACCGTGATGCCTATTCAGGGGGCTCTGTAGATCTTTTCCACGTGCGGGAGAGTGGCTGGGAGTATGTGTCACGCAGTGATGTCTGCACACTGTACACAGAGCTGAAGGAACTCCCCGAGCCAGACCAGGAGCTCAAGGCTGAGGACCAGGAGCTAGAGGCTGAGGTCGAGGCCAGCCAGACCCATCTGGAACCTGCCACTCCCCCCAGGGCTGGAGAAAGTGGAGAACTGTTTTTGGGGCCCAGAGAGGAGACACCAGAAGACTCCAGGATGCCTGCAGAGACTGAGACACCATGAGAGGACTTGGGAATCTCAAGCCCAGGAATGGATGGGAGGATAGGACAGTAGGGAGGTGCCCATTGTAAGTAGCCCCACTGCACTGCCTCCAGCTCTTCTGGATTGCTTGCTTCATTTGTTCCATGCTCCCACCCTCTCTGCCTACCAGAGATGTGTGTTGATGGCTCTGTCCAACATGTTCCTATTGATGGCCAATGGGTTGCTCCAGTCTCCTTTTTTGCTCCAAGTTGACCTTCAGCCAACACTAGCCATGTGCCTAGTGCATACCAGATCCTGTTCTAGGTGCCATCCTCTTTTCTACTTTTCATCATCCCATCCCTAGCCTCTCTGTTCTTTCCTGTTTTGTCTTTGTGTATGTGTATGTGTGTGTGTGTGTGTGTGTGTGTGTGTGTGTTGTGTATGTGTGGGCACGTGCACCAATACTGAGGCTTAAACTCAGGGCCTAGTCCCTTAGATTTTTTGCTCAAGGTCAACACTCTACTGCTTGAAATACACCTCTACTTCCTTCTGCTTTTTTGGTGGTGTTTCCCCCCCTCCCACACCCCCAGTTGTGGGGCCTGAACTCTGGACCAGGGCGCTGTCCCTCAGCTCTTCAGCTCAAGGCTAACACTCTACTACTTGAGCCACAGCGCCCCTTCTGGCTTTTTCTGCTTATGTGATGCTGAGGAATAGAACCCAGGGCCTCTTTCATGCAACGCAAGCACTCTACCACTGAGCCATCTTCCCAGCCCCTGGTGGTTAATTGGTAATGAGTCTCACAACTTTTCCTGCCCAGGCTGGCTTCAAACCATGATCCTCTGATCTCAGACTCCTGAGTAGGATTCAGACAGGTGCGAGCCGAGCCACCAGTAACCAGCTTGTTTTGGTCTTTATCTGTCTCAGAATCTTTGCCTTATATTCTCACTTGGCTTTTTCTTTTTTCTTTTTTTGCTCAGCTGTATGAGCCATTTCCAGCCTTTTGTTAGTTAATTGGAGATAAGAGTCACAGACTTTTCTGCCCAGGCAGGCTTTGATTTTCAGATCTCAGCCTCCTGATAGATATAATTAGAGATGTGGGCCCTCCATGCCCAGCCTCCTCGTCACTTCTCACTTTGTTGAGGTAGGATAGCAAAGAAGGGAGCAGCCATTCTCAGAATGATACAGGGAGAGTACCTTGGTAGGCTTGGGGCCTAATGCAGTGAAGAGAGTTCCCTTCTCTGCCCTCCTCTTCTAGCATGACACAATGATGATAATGATGATACCTGTGCTCAATGCAGTTCTCATGACAGTCCTTTGAGCTCACATCACTGAAGAAGGCTCAGGGTATGACTTGCCCTATTTACACAATAGGTACAGTGATGGGGCTTGCCTGGCCTCCCTTTCCAGAGCTTGCACCACCTCTCCCAGGCTCAAGGCCCAGTGTTTTCTCTCTTCCTCACAGCCTTCTGGGAAGTAATGTGGAATAGCTAGGTCAATGCCTGGCTGGTGGTCAGAGATGAATGAACTTTGAAAAACTCAAGGGTGTGCTGGGAAGGTGGCTCAGTGGTAGAGCGATTGCCTTGCATGCATGAGGCCCTGGGTTTGATTCCTCAGCACCACATAAGCAGAAAAAAAAAAAGCCGTAAGTGGTGCTGTGGCTCAAGTGGTAGAGCGCTAGCCTTGAGCTGATGAGCTGAGGGACAGCGCCCGGGCCCAGGGTTCAGGCCCCAGGACTGGACCCAAAAAAAAAAAAAAAGAAAAGAAAAGAAAAACTCGAGGGTCTCTAGAGGTGAGCCTGGGAAGCTGCCTCCTCATAGTCTGCTTTGGCATGCCTGCCAGGGCCTGAAGGCATTCCCTATAGCTTTCCCCCTGCTTCCTACCCTGCTAGACATGCTCTTCCCCTTGCTTCCTTTCCTTCATTTCAGTCTCTCCTTCCTGATACTTCCTCTGGAGAATAAAAAATTAAAAAAGAAAAAAGATGGAGGAAAGCTCATGAGACTCTTATTTTTGTTGGTCAGGAGGCTTGAACTCAGGGACTGGGTGCTGTCTCTGAGCTCTTTTTGTCAAGGTTAGTTCTATACCACTTTGAGCCACAGCATCACTTCTGGTTTTCTGGTAGTTAATTGGAGATAAGATTCTCAAGAGCTGCGCATCGGTGGCTCACACCTGTAATCCTAGATCTCAGGAGGCTGAGATCTGAGATCGCGGTTCAAAGCCAGCCTGGGCAGGAACATCAGTGAGACTATCTCCAATAAACCACTAGAAAACCAGAAGTGGCGCTGTGGCTCAAGTGGTAGAGCGCTCACCTTGAGCTGAAGAGCACAGGGACAGCGCCCAGGCCCAGAGTTCAAGCCCCACGACTGACCAAAAAAAAAAGAAAAGAAACCCATTCCTCCCTCCAACTATGCGTATGACTTAATGCCTACCCTCTAATGAACAGAGAAGACTAGACAAGATGCTATGTTAGCCACATAATCTAGGTTAATGACCGACAAAAACAAAACAAAACATAAAAAGATTCTCATGGACTTTTCGCCTAGGTTGGCTTTGAACCCTGATCCTTGGCTCTCAGCCTCCTAAATAGCTAGGATTATAGGTGTGAGCCACCAGCATGCAGCCCAAGAGACTGTTATCTCCAATCAACCACCAAATAGCTAGAAGTAGAGCTGTGGCTGAAATGGTAGAGTGCTAGCCTTGAGCAAAAAAAACTCAGGGCTAGCACCCAGGGATGCCCCCTTTTCCCTCAATAAAAAAGAAAAAAAAAGTAGTTAAAGAAGAGTCACATGGGTTGGGAAGGTGGCTCAGTGATAGAAGGCTTGCCTTGCATGCTTGAGGTCCTGGATTCGATTCCTCAGCACCACATAAGCAGGGGAAAAAAAGCCAGAAGTGGTGCTGTGGCTCAAGTGGTAGAGCACTAGCCTTGAGCTGATGAGCTGAGGCCCAGAGTTCAGGCCCCACGACCGACAAAAAAAAAAAAAGACAGTCACAGCTAGGTGCCAGTGGCTCACACCTATAATCCTAGCTACTCAGGAGGCTGAGATCTGAGGAACCCGGTTCAAAGCCAGCCTGGGCAGGAAAGTCCATGAGACTGTTATCTCCAATTAACTACCAGAAAACTGGAAGTGGCACTATGGCTCAAGTGGTAGAGCACTAGCCTTGAGCTGAAGAGCCCAGGGATAGCACTCATGCCCAGAGTTCAAGCCCCAAAACAGACAAAAAAAAAAAGTCAGTAAGGTTCCTTGTCTCCCACTTCTAAAGCTTCTAATCCCAAGACTAACAGCCACTTCTCTCTCCTAGACACATCAGCACCTCAGGTTAGAAACTGCTGCAGGTTGGGCTGGGAATGTGGCTCAGTGGTAGAGCGCTTGCCTTGCATGCATGAAGCCCTGGGTTCGATTCCTCAGCACCACATAAGCAGGAAAAAAAAAAGCCGGAAGTGGTGCTGTGGCTCAAGTGGTAGAGCGCTAGCCTTGAGCTGAAGAGCTGAGGGACAGCGCCCAGGCCCAGAGTTTAGGCTCCACGACTGGACCCCTCTCCCCCACCCCCCCAAAAAAGAAATTGCTCCAGGAAGAGCTGGCCAGATAGAGGAGGATTTCTAAACTCTACCATGACCCTCCAGACTCAGGACAGGGGGAAGGAGAGTCAGAGAGCCTCATAAAAGAAATCAGGGGGGGATCTGGGACAGAAACAGGGAGCAGGGGGACAGAAGCACGGGGACCTGAAATGAGGAAAGGGAACATAGAAAATTGTCCAGGAGGGCTGGGAAGGTGGCTCAGTGGTAGAGCTCTTGCCTTGCAGGCATGAGGCCCTGGGTTCGATTCCTCAGCACCACATAAGCAGAAAAAGCCTGAAGTGGCGCTCTGGCTCAAGTTGTAGAGTGCTGGCCTTGAGCTGAAGAGCTGAGGGACAGTTGCCAGGCCCAGAATTCAGGCCCCATGACTGACAAAAAAAATTGTCCAGGACTAGCCTGCAAAGCAAGCTCAGGAGTCTGGCAGTGTCCTTTACAGCAACCACTTCCTCTTCCTTTTGCCAGTATTGCCAGCATTATTGTCTTCCTCCTCTTTCTCCTCCTCCTCCATCTTCCTCTTCTTCCTGCTGTACCTCCTCCTCCTCCTTTTTTTCTATTTTGCCAGTCCTGGCACTTGAACTCAGGGCCTGGGTACTGTCCCTGAGCTTCTTTTGCTCAAGGCTATCACTCTATCACTTGAGCCACAGCACCACTTCCAGCTTTTTATGTGGTACTGAAGAATCAAACCCAGGGATTCATGCATGCTAGACAAGCTCTCTACCACTAAGCTACATTCCCAACCCCATAGCAAACTTTTTAATTCTTTGCCTACTTCCCAGTCTAGGGGGCTGGGGATATTCCAGCAGCTATAAACCAGAGGTCAGGGAGCTTAGGATGCCCTAGTCCTGAAGGAGCACATGAGGAAGGGCAGCTTTACATAAGATTTACATGTTTGATTAACTCTGACCCCCACAGAGGGTACAGATTCCTGTCCACAGAGATAGGTAGGCCTTCCATCTAGGTATTGGTCAGTGTGTACGGGGTGGTGGTGGTGGTAGTGGTATCTGTGCATTTGAATGTGGTAATAAATGTGCAGTTGTTATATGCAAGTATAAAAAAACAGACCTGAAAAGAGAAACTTCTGAATAGGAGGGTAACACGGCTTTGCCTGTCCTTTTGGTGAAATGTACCCCCCTTCTTCCAGTAAAGTGGACCAGACAGTGAGTCTATTCCTTCATTGCTCCAATGATTCCTGAAGGTCTGATGCAGATATCAGGGGAAGATCAAAGGGGTAGAGATGACCTTCCTGCCTTGAACCGGAAGAACTTGTCCCCTCCGATGCCCTGCTTCCACTGCTGCCTTCTTAGTCTCTGAGGCCTTGTGGGGATAGACAGCCCCTTGGCCTGTCAGGGATCCAGGAGTCCAGCTTCAGCAGTCAGTAACAGCCCTGGAGGTGAGGCTCCTTCCTCCAATCTAGGCATGAAAAGGCAGTTTTTCCTAGTTGTCAGCACATATGCTTAGCAAGAAGGGTTGT